GTTGGAAAGTGTGTCGCTGGTGGCTCAGTGCGGCCCAAGAGGGCCGTTGGGCTGTAGACGCCGTCGCACACAGCTGGTGGTCTTGGGCCTGTGGTAGTGCAGACACCTTAGCCTAGTGTTTCCCACTAGGAAAACTTGCCAGCTCATCAGACTTGTTGAACTTGTACTTTGTGATCTCTTGCTCCTTCAGCCCTTTTGAGGCAGGTGTGCTCTGCACCTGGGGGGTCACCTGCCTCTTGCTGGCTTCCTGTGGCTTCCTGTGACTCCCTGTCCCTGTGTTTCCTAGCCCGAAGGTGCCGCCCTGGTCCCCGCATCGCTCTCCAGCTGCCCTGGCCCTCGTCCCTTCCCCTTGCTCCGCTGTCTGTTGACACCTGGTTTCTCTTGTAATAAACATCTGTCCCGACCCCCTCACTGCGTTCTGTTGATCTCCCTGCAGCTTAGGGTACAGTGGGGATTCCTCAGGGAGGTGCTGCTGCCTCCCCAGGAAAGAACAATGGTGCCGTCACCAGTCCAGGGTCTCGCTTTGGCCAGCGCAGACATTCCAACAGAAAAGGAGTTTACTAACTTAGGAGTGACTTCCTGCAGTGACCAGATACTGTGGCCCTCTGCAGACACCACCTTCGGGGCCCTCCACACCTGGGAAAGTCCAGTAGGGTTCGTGAGCTGCTTGGTGCCTGCAGTCCTAACCCTGGAGGGACCTGGGAGCCACCAGGCCTGCTTCCTGGGACCCTGCAACTGCCCCCACCCGACCCTTGCTCACTCCGCCTGCCTCAGAGCGGCTGTTCTCGTCACAGGATTCTCAGAGAGACGGGACACCGAGGCTGTAAGCAGGAAGCAGCGTTTATTGATGCCGGCACTGGCTCAGCAGATTCTTATCCAAAGGCTGGGCCCCGATTGTAACATAACAGGCAGCTTTATACAGTCGTGTCATTCCTACACAGCTACGGAGATAAGGAAGAACATTGGTTGGCAAGTGGTGAATCAACAGGCATGAGTGGAGAGTCCTTGAAGTGGGGGAGAGGGCGGTCAGGAGCCAGCTCGGTCACCAGGAAGAGGCCGGGCAGGGTTAGGCTACCACATTCTCACAGGGTCGAGTCTGCCTCCCAGAAGGGTTCGTTGACAACGTCTAGGGACATTCTTGGTTGTCACAGCGAGGGGAGGTGCTACTGGCACCTGATGGGTGGGGGTTAGAGAAGCTGCTCGCCGGCCCCCAAGTGTGCAGGGAGGAGGGGCGAGTTCCCCTGAACTCAAGGGAAGGGCTAGAGAGGGTCGGACAGCGAAACCAGCAGGAACTGCCCGCAGGTGTCAGCAGCTGGAAGGCGAGGAGAGGCCGCTTTCGGGCGAAATAAGCGCTTAGCGACATGCCCGTTCAGGCCAAGGGGCCTGGCAGGGCCGGATGCCGGGCCGGGTGCCGGGCCGGGTGTCCCCGAAGGGGCGGGGTGCAGAGGCTGGCGGAAAACATGGTGATTGGCTAGAACCCGCGCTCCCCCAGGCTCCTGCGGCATGAGAAACCGGAGAGCGCCCCGCTTTCCACACGAATCCAGCTGGGCGACACGGGGTGGCCGGGTACGACGAGGATGAGGAACAGACAGAAAAGGCGCACGGGTGAGGGTCAGGCCCCCCGCCGCCTCTGTCCACTCTCGTGGACGACACATCCAAAACGGTACTCAGCTGTGCGTGTGTTCGCACCCCGGGCCGCGGGGCCACCGAGGCGGCGGTCCTCCCTGCT